GGGAGGGGCAGAGGGAGGGGGTGGGGGGGTTGGGGGACACTCGGAGGCTGGCACCTCCTGGGACGCCATTTTCTGCTGAGTCATGAGCCCTTGGCGTCAGCTGGCGTCGAGTTCCTTTGTTTTTGTCGTCATTGTTTCGTTATCGGGTTCAGCACGTTGGCAACATTCGAATTTCATTTATTGTTTACCTGGTAGGGTTTATCACTATCTGTAATATCGGTATCGGCATTATATTCCCCTGCGTGTCGTGTGCGTGAGTGCGTGAGCGTGTGCGTGCGCGTGTTTGTTTAAACGAGATTTGAGCAATGCTCTTTTTCCCTCTATTGTTTTTCGTCTGCGGCATGTGACGGCGTGTGGGGACGGGGCGGCAGGCGGTGGCCCTAGCAGTGTGGCGGAAGGAGGGAGGGCGGAAGGAGGCGAAGGGAGCAGCGGATCCTGCGTCTGGCGTCTGATTTGTGCTTTATCTGTGCCTGCGACCAGGCTACAGCTGTGACAAGTGCCGCAGTGAACAGGCCCGGAAGCAGGTGCAGCGGCGTGAGCGGCGAGCAGTGAGGGCCCCGCGCTGTGGTGCCCTTGGCGGCGTCGGTGCCAGCGCAGGAGCAGGTGATTAACACCAGTGCCGTCGAAGGTGCCGGCGATGCGACTGGGATTGCTGTGATTGGATAATGAGGCTGCTAATGAGGCGGCGTGAGGAGGGCTGGCGCCGAGCTGTGTCCTGGGCAGCGAGGGAGTGAGCGGCGGCGTCGCGCGCAGTGCGAGTGTCATGGGTGCGCCCGGCGGGGGGGAACGCGCGGCCGCGCCTGAACAGGTCGGCGGCGAGCGCTATTGGTCCCGCAGCGGCGCGATGCGGCCATTGCAGCAAGGCTCCGCATGCGGGCCGCGAGAACTGGCTTCTGTCCACGCCGCCCCCGCGCCCCCCGGGGGACTCGCGCCTCAAGTCCCCGACGGCGCCCGGGGCTCTGAGGGCGGCTAACCTGGTGCACAGGGTGCGCGTGGCGCCCTGCGGCCAGATGCCGCTCGCCGAAGGCCCGCCCGTCGTCGCGCTCCATCCCCTGTGCGGCTGCGGGACGCTCCACGGCTGGCGCGGCCCCTCGGCGCGGCCCGACGGCGGGGGCGTCGAGCCCGACTCCCTGGAGCCCGACGGCGAGGAGCCCCGGCAGTGCACACACGCCGCCGTCGCCGCCGCCTCCTGCTGCTGCCTCCTGCCGACGCCGGCGAACTGCGAGGCCTCCCCGTGCCACGCCGCGCGCCCTGCGCCTCCGCGCCTGACGTTGGTGAACGGACTTGACCGCCGACGGGAGTGCGCGAGGGAGGCTCGGAGGAAGGCCAGGGCGGAGTACGACCGCATGAGGAAGGGCACGAAGGCGGAGGCGTTGAGGGCGCGAAGCGGCGGAAGGGTCCTCCCTCTGCAACAGGAAGCACAATGTGCCTCTTGCGCCGCCCGCCGCCCGCACACCGCCCCTGCGGAAGCCAGCCTCGAGCCGCCCAGGTGCCGGGCGGCGAGCCCCCTCGCCCAGCCGGTGCCCGAGGCGGCGCTGCGCAGCCGCTCCTTCTGGTGGGACAGCTACTTCACCAGCTTTCTACGGTAAGGCCCGCCGGACGAGCGGGAGGGAGGCTCCGGCGAAGATCGGCGCCTTCGGGCGGGCAGTCGACGGCGCGGAGGGAAACAGCGCCATGAGGGGGCAGTGTGTGTGTGTGTGTGTGTGTGTAAGATTTTATGTGTGAGTATGAGTGTGTTAAGAATAACGTCTGTATATTTTTGTATCTGCTCTTCTCTCTTTATTGCCATTGCCCTCTCGTCTTCTGCTTTCCTCCTCTTCCGCCTCCCTTGAAACCCAGGTGAAGGACGGACGTCGGAGTGCGACTCTCCGGGGAAGGGACAGAGAGAGGGAGGGCAGAGGGAGGGAGGGGAGCGAGGAAGGGAATGAAGGAGGAAGGGCTAGGTAGGGAGGGTACAAGGATGAAGAGAGAGGGAGGAGAGAGGGAGAGAGAAGGGGGGGAGGAGGGAGGGAGAGAGTAAAAAAGAGAGAGGAGGGGAGAAAAAGAGAAAGAAAGCAGGAGAAGGAGAGAAAGGGAGAGAAGGAAGGAGAAAAAGGGAGAGAGGGAAGAGTAAGGAGAAGGAAGAAAGAGAGAAAGGGAGTTAGAAAGGGGAGGAGGAAGGGGAAGAGGGAGAGGCAGATGGAAGGGGAGAGGGAGGGAAGAGGGAGGGTAGATGGAAGGGGAGAGGGAGGGAAAGGGAGAGGCAGATGGAAGGGGAGGAGGAAGGAAAGAGGAAGAGATAGATGGAAGGGAAGAGGGAGCGAGAAAGCAGGAGGAGAGCGAACGGCGGAATGGCAGAACGTGGCGGAAGAAGATAGAAGAGTGATAGAGGAAGCCATGACGTTCAGGGAATGTTCAGGGTGCCAAGGCGAATGCATCCAAAAAGGACAATGTGCGAAGGATGGAGGCGAAGGAGGAAGTGGAAGGGGGGGGCAGCGGGAGGAGGAGGACACGGCGAGGGAATCCCGCGGAATTTGTTCTCCGCGACAAGAAGATCAAACGGACTGGAACAGGAACTTGCACAGATGCTCCTGTGTCATTGTGAAATGTTGAAAACAAAGAATGAATGATTGTGGATCTCTCGTTATCGCCATTTCTACTGATTTATTTATTTATATTTTATCTGCTCGCGTAATAATATATTTTTAGTATTATTATTATACTAATTGAATGAAAAATATATATACCGATAGTAACGTTCGTGTGTGTGTGTTGTGTGTTGTGTGTGTGTGTGTGTGTGTGTGTGTGTGTGTGTGTGTGTGTTGGTGTGTGTGTGTGTGTGGTGTGTGTGTGTGTGTGTGTTCACGTGCGCGTATTCTGCGTGGGGGTTTATGGGTTTATAGGTATGTATTCTTGTTTATACCTTATGTGCATACAGTTATTGTTGAGAAAAAAGAGCACAAAGCCTAGTCTCTCGGGACAAGATCCGATATTGGCAAAGCATCGCGAGAAGATGGATCACTTTCAGATCGAAGCGGATCGACGCGGGCTGAAAGACGCGCGAGAGAGAAAAAAAACAACTGCCTCCTAACAATGCCGCCCCGTGTCACGGCGCGTCACGTCACGCCCCTTCCCCGTCGACGTCGGCGCGAGCGCGGAGCCGAAGGTGGCACTCGCCTCTTCCCCTCCTTTCCACTCTCTCCCCTGGTCCTTCTCTCTCTTCTCTTCCCCTTCACTCCCCTCCCCTCTCCTTTCCCTTTCTTTCTCTCCCTCCCCAGTCCTTCCCCTCTCCCTCTCCAGTCCTTCCCCTCTCCCCACCTCCTACCTCTCCTCCTCTCCACCTCTCGAACCACCTGCCCGACCCACCCAACCCCACAATGGCCTAAACAAAGGGTGGCGATCGGTAATTTCGTTGTCACGGTGTGTGTGTGTGTGTGTGTGTGTGTGTGTGTGTGTGTGTGTGTGTGTGTGTGTGTGTTCTGTGTGTGTGTTGTGTGTGTGTGTGTGTGTGTGTGTGTGTGTGTGTGTGTGTGTGTGCGTGCGTGTGTGTGTGTGTGTGTGTGTGTGTGTGTGTGTGTGTGTTTATGTGTGTCTCTGTTTGTCTGTACCTGTGTGTGTTTATGTGTATTTTTGTTTATGTTTGTGTATGTCTCTTTGTGCGTACAAGGCTATTATTTGTGCATTGAGCCAGATTATCATCAGGTCGATGATATAGGAAGGATTTGTCACTTATTTTAGATTTATTCGGCTCATCACTCGTGCTGCCGCCTTTCTTCTCGCGATGATGGAAGGGTTGCACTCCCACCTCGGACGGGAGAGGACCGGCATAAACCTTGAACCTGCAGCTCGACCTCGGCCTTCCCAGCCGTCCCTACAGGTCGAAGGAGGTCGAGGGAGTTCCGGTAACGGCCGGTGGCGTTCCGTTTACGATCCTTTGAAGGGCCCCTGCTGACCCGTCCCATCCCCGTGGCCTTGGTCGGTAGGGAACGGCGGTGTGGCATAGGGTGTTGCGTCAGCAGTGTCCCGTCCGGAGAGAGAATTCATGCCTGTGGTGTTTGTACTGTCGGTATGATTAGTATTATTAATGGCATCTTTATCGTGATGATTATGTTGCTTTTATTAGTGTTGTAAGTATTACTATCTTACAATACTCTCTCTCCCTCTCTTTCCCCTCTCCCTCCTTCTCTCTCCCCTCTCCCTCCCTCTCTCTCTTTCTATTTCCCCCTCTCCCTCTCTCTCTCTCCCGTCCCCCTTCTTCCTTCCTTACTTCTCTCCTCTCCCCCTCTCCCACCCTCTCTCCCTCTCTCCCTCCCTCCCTCCCTNTCCACAAAGCCTTACAAACTACACACCTGAGAGAGTTGCCACTCAAAGAAACCTTATGTCCAAATTTTGGTTCACATGCAAGGTACAAGGCACCCAAATCCAATGGGTCAAGATAATGAACAATGCAGTACTAATAAATAATAACACTGCTTATAAAACGACAATAAGAATCATAAAGAATAATGCACAAACCTAGAACGAGCATTATATGATGAGGTAGATGATGGCCTTTGCTCCAAAGTGGTACTAAAACTGTCAATGCGCATGGGGGTCAGAAGATGATGAGCTGCTCTAGAAGATACAGGTCGCTGTGTTGTGCCTCGAGGAGTTGTGACAGAAGGAAGAGATACCAAAGACAGACTGGACCGAGCTGAAGACTCACGGGTGTGTGAAGCAGAAGAGATTCTAGAACGTAATCTATCTTCTCCATTCTGCAATGGTTTTGTTGTTACCTGCAGAAGTTCTTGTAATTCTCCTTGGTGGATACTTGGTGTAGGCTGAAAACCCTGCAATCTATTTATAGCACTTGATGGTCGCTGGATTCCACTCAATGGACGATTTGCTCTGTATCCTCTAACAGAAATGCCACTATCAGGTCTATTCACACTCTCTGGGAGCTTTAGGTGCCTCTGAGTAGCTCTCCCAAGATCTGCACTATATTTTCTTACAGGAGTCTGTCTACCCCTTCTGGCCCCTCTAGTACTGGGCTCCCTAGAGAGAGATGAATATTGTACTGACTGTTCAATTACATACTTGGCATATGAATGAAGCAGTGGTTCAATTGCTTTTGTCACTGTAGGCCACAAATGATCAAAGAGCATTATGAGCACTTGCTCTTTTAGTACTTCTGGATCATTTGATCCACTACACACTCGACTACTGGAAGTCCCTGTCTTTGGATTAACATGAGAAGAATTTTTTACTTGATTGGCACTGACAATATTAACTATAGGCAGCAGATGGTGAAAGTGACCATCTTCTTCAATCACTTCCTCATTTTCTAAGGTTTCTTCATGCCTGAAAATAAATAACCAAAGTGTTAACTCATAAAAATTGAAGGAGAATGACTGACATACAATACTGTAGGAATTTTAAAGTACATAGAGTAACTATTCCTTAACTTGTGCAGTACATAGAGCACTAGTATCCTTCCATTAATACTATTATGCAAATCTTTTAATAGCAGTACTTACAGAGAATCTTCATTCATATACTGCTCTATGATATTAAGCAATGATGTCTCCAATACACGCCCCCTAATTCTGTTGACATTAGAAAAACACAAACATAAGGAGAAGCATTGTTCAAATACATACAGTACATCAAGTATTTATGTAAACAATTACACATATACACCCAGAATTATTTATCCCCAGTTTGGTCACAGTCATAACATCCAGCAGTAGTGATATACCAAGACCTAATTTAGAAAAGCAACTTACCTAAAATGTGGAAAGTGGTGTACCCAATTTGAGCATTCCTCTAGTAATTCTGGAGTCGGTTCAGGGGCTACCAGAAGATCACTACCTAATCCAGAACTTGATTCTAATAATCTTGCACTGTTTAACAATAACGTTTGTGATCCCACATTATCCACATTAAAAATTGTATCTTTGTTAATTGTTTTTATATTGGTTTCAATGTGTTCATCAGGATTACTCTCTGGACTTGAGAAGTACCCAATACTTCCAGCAGGTGAAACAGTTTTCTCATCCTCGTTCACACACACTTTTGTGCTTCCACTAACAAACCATGGCACAGCAGAGGTTACAGAGTCATCCTGATAGAGCAAAGAGTCAAGTTGGTCAAAGAGGGCACTGACTTGTCTGGTGGCCTCTCCTTCAAACTCATCATCACCCCATGATAAAGAGGAGTCTGATCTGCATTCATTGTCATCTCCTCTTGAATATCTGTAATATATCATCATACATTACTACTAAAAGTTATCAATTCCAGAGATACTGAAGTCAAATCAGTTGTATCTAAAGTTTTTACCAAGTATGATAAACTTTTCAATTTCAGAGATACTGGATTCAAACCTGTTGAATCTAGTTTTTACCAAGTATGATATCAAACCTGTTGTATCTAGTTTTTACCAAGTATATTACCAAGTTACTAAAGATTTGTAATAAATCTGAAAGCAGTTAAAAGATATTAATGCTCCCATAATGGAAATTGTGAAAATCATAATCACATACAATTTTAAACCCATACCTCACCCAGCAAAATGAATATATAGATGTAATCCATCACAGCATGTATGTATAACATCAATTTACACTTTATGCTAATATAATGTTTACTTTACCTTCCAAAATCTTTATTTTCTTCATATCCAACAGGCTGACTTGGTGGGTACTTCTTTATATACAAAATTGGAGGTGATGATGGAGGTGTATTTGTAGGGGTTACATCACTCTCTTCAGCCCCATGATCTTCACGAATATCTAAGCAACGTAATTCTTCTTCCAGATCGTCCTCCTCCTGAGTCATCTTCTCTTTACTCAAGGGCCCATAATTCACAACAGCTGGGCTACATCCTACCTTTGAGAAAAAAAATCACAAAATGCATATCAAAGCCAATAACACTACGAAGTACTTGGGAAACATAATTTCATAATAATATCTACAAAAGATATATGATTAATAAGGGTATGAGATAGAAAATTTAAAGCCACAAAGTTGAAGCATTTGAGTTTATCACATGGGAGATATAGGAAAGAAATAGGCACAACATGAAAGACAGATAATAAAATAAAAATGAAATATGTACTAAAATAAAAGGATACCAAAACAACTTTATAGTTTTCTGGTAGCCTATTGCAGACTAAAAAAAAGGGTTTTAGTTTTTACCATAACTATTGAAGTGAGGAAAATGACATAGGGTAAATACTGTGACATCATATGCTTGGCATTAGCCAATTATTTTTTCAAGGGTTACAGATGTTCAGATCAAAGCTAATATCATGAAAACTGGCAGAAAAAATAGTTGCATCAAACCCTGGGCAACAGTGTAACAAAAGGGGGAGACGTACCAATCGTTCTGTAGATCAGACCTTACTCTCCTTCCCCATTAACGTTCAGCTCTTCTTCCTCTCCTGCCAGTCTTGCTGTTCTACACGATCTGCTATTCTATTCAATTCTATTTATCTATTTATTATCTTTTATCTATTCACTCACTTTTTATTTGTTTTGCCTCCATGCCTAACTTCCATCATGGGGTTAATTCAAGACAAGAACTTAATTAATGAACATCCAACTTCAATTGAATTGTTCTTAATTTCTTATCCATTTCAACTGCCTCACTTCAGCTCATAGCATAATAATTCAAGTGTGAAAATTGCTTCCCGAGATTCTCCATACAGATTGTTACTTGTAAAATTACGGTTTTAACATAAATAACATTTCCTATCAAGCACCCTAACAATAGGTCTACATGTCTGTGTCATTTGACTTCCACAAATAAATAATAATCAATTTCCAAAGCTTTATTATGAAATAAGCTTATGAGGCCCTTGGGTTCCCTGGATTAAGAAAACATTATCTTACATGAATATAAAGTTGGGTGGATAACTGAAGATTTCATGTTCAGATACATCATCTCTGAAATAAGATAAATGAATATAGTCAGTATTTTCTCCTTCTGCCAATAAACACAAGAGATAATATAATTTTACCACCATATACAAGTGTACTGTAAACAAAAAACTATCATACTGAATATGTACCATAATATATAATATTGTAAATTTAGTCATATGATGATGGAACTTTTTTATTTATACAAGATGTGCTTCTAATTTAATCTTATATTTATAATATCTTTAAACTGAACCTTATTCCACTATCCATTGGGTATGGTATTAGTAAACCTATGACATACCATCCTATCACAGACCATAAAAGCAGAACAAGGTAAAATGCCTATCAAAATCCTTTTCCTAAAATCTTACAGAAGATAAGGTATGTCATTATTCTTTCATCATATTCATCACTGGATGCTTCGCTTCCAGCCATGGGAGTCCATCTTGGCAAGCCGCCTGGCAGGCCCTTGGCCCGTCTCTGTCTCGTTGTGATAGGTTTGGTCAATATCCCCATACCATCCTAGGTTGTCCCACAGGCCTCCTTCACCCAGGATTGTCTCGTAAAGAGACTGTCTCATAAAGAGACAACCTGATGGGTATGGTCATCCACAGGTAAACAATCTAGGTCCCTGTATAACCTGAGTTGGCAATCCTGGTTTAAGTAACAGGTCCTATGTCAGTCTCACATTGTAACTGTCTGTTGAACATATGGACTTGCCAACTGTACCCTGTGATCCGGCATTAGGATAACAGGCATTATGGCATGACTCCAAGGCACTAGATAGCGTCCAGGTTTCACTTCCATAAAGCAAACTGGCAGTACTAATTCCTTGACAATACTAGCCTGGCCCTTCTGCACAAGTACCGGCATTTCCAAATACTCGTTGACCAAGTTCATGGCTTGTTCCTGGTCTAGCAGCCCAGAGACATGAACTAAGGTATGTAGAACTCTGTGACTTCAACTTCTCACTGCAAGCATGTATCAACTGAATAGGTTTCCCTAATATGCTTTCAGCTTTTCATTAATGGTACATATAAATCCAGACAGTACTTTCATTCAGTCTACTGTAATCTAGAATTGATCCAATTTTCCCAATAACTATTCTGTACACCACACACTCAAAATCAGCTGCAAGTCGAAATCTAGTCATCCACTAAGTTTTTTATGTTAAAATAATCCAAACGCATGATGATACCACGAAATCCTCACTCGTCACTGATACACACATCAACACATTGATTATTGTGAAGTTTAGCGTCTCTCCTTTGCAAGTACCGCAAACCACAATGCACGATGAAAAGATAGCGCCTTATCTGCACCATTCAATTTCCCAAAATACAAATCAACCAGCCACAAACACCTGTCCATGACGTGTTTACAGAAGACAGCAACACCTGTCATTCTCACCTGGCTCCAATGACGGGAAATGGTCGCTACTCGCACACTGATCACGTATACGACTTAGATTAATTTCAGTCCCTTTCTATTTCAACACACCGGGTAATGTACAACTATGACGACATTGGCGATAACACTTACTGCTACGAATCCATAATGGGTAACGAGTGCGAGACAGGAGACGGAAAGCACTCTGTGTCCATAGTTACGTCGTCGTCTGCAAACACGAAGGCTGACTCGGGCTAAACCGTAAGGGTGGAAATCGTAACCTTTCTCGTTAGAAATTGAGTTCTATGAGTGTAAAGCATAGTCTTGTGTGCCCATTCTCTTTACAATTCGACAATTATTATGAGTATAAAGCATATCCTTGCATAAGGTTTAACGGGAACATCGGCTTTACAAATACATTCAAATCATGTAAGTTCTTTAAACTTTTTGCTCTTAAATTACAGAGTATAAAGTTATGAATTATAAATGCCATCAAACATTCCCCCTGGGAGGCAAAACACGGACAGGTTTTGCAGTATTTTTATGGCATTCATAATGAGTAAAGTCTTTGTAATTGAAGGTTTGTTTGTATTTAGAAGTTTTTCATTTCAAATGATTTGGCTCCCCGCTTGCAGTATACCTCAGGACCTTTGTTATCACGCCACAACTCTATTGATTTATTTTCATGGTTTTCCAGGTATCGCTATCAATACCGCTTTGTGCGAAAGGCCAAACTATTATAACTATATAAAGTCCATTTTCTCATGGAATTTTACAAAGTGCAAGGTGAATATGACATGAATAGTTATGAAAAAAATCAGTGGAAATAATGAAAAGCTTTATACATATGGAGTTATTTTGTAAAACATATTTGTAGTGTTTTTAATGTTGTAGATATGCTTTATATAATGATTGTCACTTGGAAGTAGTAAGTTATGATGAATAGGTAGATTTATAAGAGATGATTGTGTTTCAAAAATTATGGAAGTTACTACACATTGCCGTGTCCGCAAGACGATATGTTTTTATATCCGGTATATATGACTTTTATGTAGAAATGTAGTATTAATCAGGCTAAGCATATTGCATGATTATCGGCGTTTCATATCTGTCTGCAATTAAGTTTGGGGCATGGATGTAGATTTACTGATTTGCAACAAACATTCTTTTAATGTGGCCTATTATGAAGGTAATCATGTGAATGTTATAGAAATAATAAATGTAACCTGTCCAACTTTGTTGTATCACAGATTTAACAAAAACGTTCTCATAAAATAGTCATTATGGCTGGTCAACACTGCGGGGTGATTTGAGCGAAAAATAATATATGGTTTGATTTCTTTTCCACTGATGATAAAGTCACTCGAGTTACAGATGAATGATATCTCAACAAAGACAGGAAGAGATATGTTGAATGAATGGATAAGGAATATTTCAACGGAATGATCATCAGTTCGGCGACCTTTGTTCTCAGCTTTCAGGCAAGGAGAGAATGGTGAATGCTGGTGGTACAGGACAGTGCATTCTCGGAATTAGTTCCTGCATGTTTCACCGCGGGCCTGTGAAGCTCAGACTGCCTGGCCGACTGCTCAGAAGTAGAAAAGGAGAGACGGCAGGGCAAAATTCCATGATGGATTGATTGATAGGCATTGCTAAATTTACTTGTATATTTTGTTGAGTTAACTATTGCCATCATTTGAAATAAAGTGCATGGCAGTGTAGTTATGTCTTTTTATAAGCTGTCTCACTTCACATTCTACTTGAAGTTTTGCTAACACGCTGTACAGTACAACATATATTGCACGTACTTATATTTAACCCATTTTAACCCTGCGCATGTATAACATGTCAATTCTAATCACTTGTAACAAATAGACTTTAGATTTGTAAATACGGTAATCTGCCATCTATTTTTTATTTCTGTGTAAGGAGGGCTAAATAATACATCAAAAGCCACGGGCACTGATGGTCAAACCTTGCGAAAGAATAAGCAATCTCAGACCTGTCAGTGGCGCAAAAACCTGTTATTATGATTATCAATTTTTCTGACATAACTTCAATACAAAAAAAAAAAAAAAAAAAATGAATTTAATTTTTTGACGAGCAGTATTTCGTGTCATGAGAAAATATCGCACATGGTGCATCTTATTGTTTATAGATCAACATGTGTATAATCTATATATGTGTGTGCGTGTGTGTGGTGCACGCGCACACACACACAACACACACACACACACACACACATGTATATATATATATATATATATATATATATATATATATATATATATGTGTGTTGTGTGGTGTGTTGTGTGTGTGTGTGTGTGTGTGTGTGTTGTGTGTGTGTGTGTATGTATGTATGTATGCTCGATGGGCCACTGGTGTAGTGGGTGAGACACAGATGCCCTGGGTGCGGCAGTGGTTATTGGGTAGATCAGTGGTAGTTTATATTGGGTAACGGTGGTAGCTTATATTGACAGGGCATTATTATACTGGATAGGCATTGGTGTAGCGGTTGGGCAATGGTGAGCTAGATTATCAGCGGTGTTTGGTGGAGCAGTGGGGTATGACGGAATTTAGTGTAGTGGGAAGGGCAGCATCGTGGTGGTAGGCTAGTGGTGTAAGTGGGGCAGTCGTGTATCATGAAATGGGTGAGACTAGTGTGTGGGTAAGACAGGGTTTAGTGAGCATGTCGCTGGAATAGTGGATGTGGCAGTGTAGTGGATGTGACAGTGAAAAGTGGTGTAATTTAGTATGTATTCCTTCACAACAAATCACACCACATTTTTCTTCAGGGAGAGAGAGAGAGAGAGCGACAATGATAACGAGAGGGAAGAAAATGAGAACGAGAGACAGTGATAAAGAGAAAGTGAGTGAGAGCAAGAGAGAGACAGCATGAGCGAAAGAGATGATTAGGAGATTGAAAAAGATAGAACCAACAGAAGAGAGAGATGAGAAAGGTAGAGAGCATGATGTTAAGAAAAATTAAAGATAGTGTCAGGACATGAAGAGAGAGAGAGAGAGAGAAGAGAGAGAGAGAGAGAGAGAGAGAGAGAAAGAGAGAGAGAGAGAGAGAGAGAGAGAGAGAGAGAGAAGAGAGAGAGAGAAGAGAGAGACTGCAGCAGGCAGAGAGAGAGAGAGACTGCAGCAGCAGAGAGAGAGAGAGAGTGAGAGAGAGATAGACTATAAGAGAACGAGAAAGTGAAATATATATTGAAATACCATGC